CTTGTCATATGTGATCGTGGAACCTTTTATTTCTTAGATTATAATCAGCTAGGGTTTTGACAGAGATACAGCATTCTTGAATGCTATTCTGTTGTTGTTGAAAAGTGAATATTAGAATATTGTAATTTGGTAACTCTCAAAATCATATTTCCCTTTCCCTGGGGTTTGCTGGTTTTTTTTTAATTGTTGAAAATTATTGTAGTTCGCTTGTTGAGTAAATTTCCCCAAATTTTTGCAAGTATTTACTCCTTAGATTGTATTCAGCTAGGATTTTGATAGAGATAGAGTATCTTTGAATGTCATCAGCTGTAAAAAGCAAGAAATACAAAGAAACAAGACCCAGAACCTCTCCCTATGTTCACAGATGGGTGTCATGCTGTGGCACTTACATTTGGCTGAGCTTACACTGATGTTATGGTAGTTATATTGTTTTCCAGAGATTTCACAAAGTTGGCTTCTACATTTTTTTATTGTTTCTCATCATTTCTGTGGGAAAATGAGTAATTGGAGTACATACTCTGCTAGTTTTCTGATATTTTGCTTTCTTTTGTTAAGAAAATTAATGATTTCAGAGGAATAAAATATTTTCTTAAAATAGTTCCTTTGTATTTCTCTTTTACATATGAGTTTTCGTTGCATAAAATTACTTGACAGTAGTAGGAAACTATATATGGCCATAAAATAGTTAAAGGACAGATAAATATACAGTGATTAAATAGAAAATCATAAAATTTGTGAATTCCTTTTATTGACTTTAACACTGGTTCTTAGAGTTAGGGATAGTCCTGGATTTTTAGCATAAATAATTAGCCTAAGTGATGAAGAAGGCAAAACTTTAAAAAACAACAACAAAACCTAGGGCCAGGGATTTAGCTCACTGGTGCCACTGCTTGCTTCGCAAGTGCCAGGTCCCAAGTTCAATCCTCGTACTAAAAATAAAAAACAAAACCTAAGTCTTAAGTATTAGATAAAAACCTAAAGGCCATAACTAATCCTGTGTCACCTTCCACTCTAGTCTTCCCCCTCTCTGTGGCTACTGTTTGTTGCCCTGACAACTCTGTTCCTATAGATAAGTTTTGCTACATCCTGCTTTTATGGGAGCCTGTTTCTTCACCAGTCCTTGGTCCATACCTGTCACTGCTTAAATTATGGCCTTTATTCTGCTTCTATGTAACAGGAATTACACAGCCTCTGTTCAGGGCTCAGAATTTGGAGTGGCATACTCCTCTGAGCCTGCTGGTATGATAAAACCTAGTTACCTTCCACCTCTCAGAGTGCTGCTCTGTTTATTTGTGCACTGTTCTTACCATTTCATAGGGAGGTGAATAGTTAGATTCCTGAAATGTATTATACTTAGTGGCTGCTGTATTTATGGGTGATGCTGCCTGAAGTATTATGCTTTGCCTTATTACGATTGTGTGCCAACATATATGGTATACTTTCTTCAGTTTTTTGTTTGTTTTTGTTGTTGTTATTTTGTTTTGTTTTGGGTACCAGGGATCAAACTCAGGACCTTGTGCTTGCAAGGCAGGCAGTGGCACCACTGAGCTACATCCCTCACCCTTCATTCAGTTTTTAAAATCATGTTATTTATGAGATACAGAATTTAATTAAAACATTCCTGTAGTATATTGTAGTTCATTTAAAAGAAAGAAGTGCTTTCAGGTCCTTACTAAACCCATAGTTTGTTTTCATCTTAATTTGAACCAAGTCATTTGACACCCCCCCCCTATCGTTTACTGCTGAATATCATATATAGTGGATTATAGTTAGTTCTCTTAAGAATTCAGTGGTAAAACATTTTTTTAAATTATGTAATACTTTTCAGAATTCATAGGTGGAATGTGATCTCAGTGCTTTCAAATACAAATTAAAGGTACATTTGAGTAGGCGTGCTTATTTATAGCGTTAATCTGTCTGGGGTTTTTAAAAATTATTTTTAATTTGTTTTTAACCTAACCTAGCTTAAAATCTCTGGTTTTCTCTTCATGAAGCAGACAGATGTTTGTGTACAAAAAGTACTATAGGAATTTATTGTAAACCTTCCTTTAACATGATATCAATAGTATACAGATAGAATCAATAAATATTCTTAGCCAAACATGACTGCAGTTTGTGTGTATGTGTGCATTACTGAAAAACAGACTACGTATTCTTGCAGTTATAGCTAACAGGAAACTTAGTTCAGAAATCAGAATATCAACTAAAAATATCATATTAAACTCTCTTGCACCCTCTGTTGTTACTTTTGGGGAATACTACACATACATTCCCATTATTGTATTGTCATCACATGCTCTTTTATATTTCCTGATAAAATTAATACCTGTTTCATTATACTTAATCTTCAAATTAAATTCAATGGTAGAGTAACTCGTTTGTAACTCAGTGTTTTCTTATGTTACAGATTTTTTTTTGTCACAGTGCAGCTTAAATGAAAGATGAGGGTTTCTGTTTTTCTTTGATTTCTCCTAGTTATCAGTTTTAAGCCTCACAAATGCTTCACACAATGAGTACCTCTACAGGTTGTATAGCATGTCATATCTACAGTTTTGCAGAATTACAGATTCTGTTGCTCTTTTATAAACCTTTCAATAGTTTCCTTCCAAAATAAGAATCTGGAATCATCCATTCTAAAATTAAGAATTTATAACTGTAAGAACAGATGTTTTCATAAACACTAGCTATAATTAATTTCAACTAGACGATCGAAGGAACAAAGCAGTTTTTCCTGCTTCAAAACTGTATTACCTTTTCCTCATGTGGCAGCCTCAAATCTTTTCTCTAATGTTGTCAATTGTACTCCTTATTTGGTATGGTTTTTTGAGAGAAAAACTGCTTTGTTTTCATTATTACCATCTTTTTCACCTTGAAAGTTAAATTTCATGTGATATCTTCATTTGGTAATAGTTAAAAACTTAAGAAAATCTTTGTGATATTCTATGATAAAAGCTGCCTGTTTCAAAAAACAAATTTCTCATTTGAAGGATTTTTCTATTTGATCTGGTAAATATCAGCTTAAAGGAATAAGTATTCCATTGGTGAAATTGCGTATATTTAAATAATTTTTTGTTTTAAAGAGAAAGAAGGCTCACGTTTTAAATGTATAATATACTACTTACCCTATGATGATTATGGAATATTTCACAGGAAATGCCTGCAAGCTGTTAAATAACATGTGTTACAGCAAATTTTCGTTTAGCAAGATAGAGACTAATTTTCCTTTCATCTTTTTCATTTATTATAATGTTATTGATTTTTAAAAAGAAAATGAAGTATGTGCTGTTTTATCCATGTTTTCAAAGAATTACCAACATATATCTAGCTAAGTTGATCATAACCATTAAAGTTTTGTGGATTCTTCTATAAATTGTCACATTTTGTAAGATAGTAAATCATTTTAGCCTATAAGTTTAAAATAAAACACCTGTATTGTATTTTGATAAAGGAGTAGAATTAATAGTTCAGGTACTGGACTAAGTCAGATTCTCAGAATTCTGAGCACCTTGTTAGAAGTGCAGAGATCTCAAAGAGAACACTATTCTTGACTAATCTACAAGCTATAAAGTGTTTAAAAAATATAGGTAGCTGTCATTAAAATTACATTTCAGCTTTCAGTAACTGTTTAATATGTAGGCTAATCATGTAAGTGTAGTGCCTTAAGCACTATACTCAATAATTTAAAATAATTTATTTTTAAACAGAAAGCTTCATATTACCATTTGACTTAACCAAGATCACTGTGCTTCTCTCCAGTGGCACCTTAGATTGTTCAAAGTAGATTAAAAGTATAAATTACAGTTGGATAAATCACTAAATTATTAAGCTTTACATGTTATAAAAATGAATATAACCTGATGTTTGAAACTTATCTTGCAGGAATTAGGAGTACAAAATGTAATTAGATTCTCTAGTCTTTTTAATTTGTTTTGAAGAACAAATGCCATATTTAATGGTATTATACAGTACTATGGTCTTATAAAAGTGTGCTTCTGAAAGTTAAGGTATTAAAATTTTGTTAGTAAGAATATGTATTTTAGCACTTTATTTTTGATACTGGGGATCGAATTCCAGCCCTTACGCTTGCAAGGGAAGCTGCAAAACCACTGAGCTAAATCCCTGGCCCCTAACCCTTTAAGTATTGAGGCCGGGGATTTAGCTCAGTGGTTTATGCTGCCTGCCTTGCAAGTGCAAGGTCTTGAGTTCCATCCCTGGTACCAAATAAATAAATTAAAATTTAGTAAATTAATTTTTGTTCTCTAATATTTAAATTAATATGCATGAATTTATTCTAAATTTTTGTATTTGTTTTTTGCAAATATGCCAATATGCCATTTTGTTGAGGGAAAATAGCTTTTGTCCTCTACATATTATTATAGAAGACACCCTGGTTTAAACTGCTGAGCTTGACATTAGGTAAAACATAAATTTGGGGGAAAAAAAACTTTAAAGGTATATTTAAAGTTCTTTAAAATGCATTATAAATCATCACCTCCCAAGTCTGCTGTACGGATTTACTTTCTCTGAAGAAATTTCTTAGTAGTAAAAAAATGGGAGTTCCAAAACCTTTTGGATTTGTTCTTTGCCACACACATTTTTTATATATACAAGTGATCAGAGTGGCTAGTCCCTATCAACAATAGTAACAAAATTGCATTTGTTTATGAACATTAACTTATAAGTAAATTGTTTATAAGTTTTAGTTTTGTCTGTGATTCATAAGAAGAAATTGCCTGCATCATACTTCATTTGTTTCTCTTAGCAGTTACTCTGGTATTATTTAAACCCAATTCAGGAGCAATATTTTTACTTTATATTTTGGCCTCTAAATCAATTTCTTGCCTAAAAGACTCAGTACAAAAGATAATTTGGGAAGGTGTAAAGAAATATATATGGCTTTTTGATTATTATACACCATAGAGCTGTCATACAGTAGTTTTTCAACTGAAATTCTCGTTTTGCAATCTGCATTATTTCAGTGCTTTCAATTTTTTTTCCAGGAGATTCAAATAAAAATGGAAGAAGAATAAGTTCTACCTTAGACTCTGAAGGGACTTTTAATTCGTATAGGTAGGTGATGAGTACCCAGGTACATAATTTTACAGAATGTATAAGACACATAGCTTTTATCAGTGCATAATTGTATAATAAAGCTTATAATAGAGCTGCTACCTCTGCTTTAAAAAATATGGCATTTAAAAAATACTATATTTTGTTGTTATATACTTATGACTCATAGAAAATGTAATATCCAAAATTCTTCAATAAATGGATTTAATACAGATATTTATTGTTATCCTATAATAGGATAATATTATCAAACTATTATAAGCCATTTTTTAATTTTTCTAGCATTTCTTACAGTACTAAAAGCCTTTCTGATATATAAATTTCCTGCTAAAATAGAGTATACTGCTGAGGTGTGACTATGAGAAAAATTTTAATTCATGGTTTAATTAAGTGTTATCTATTAATATACTTTTTGGGCTCTTTAGCACATAAAGCTGTTATATCTCAATTAGTAACTTAAAAGGTTATATTACTTAACAGAATATATATTTTATCTTACATTTTGTTGATATTCTCCTTATACTGTAACTTAAATTTTGCTTAAGTGAATGTTTACAAATTAGTCCCTTATAACAGATAAATCAGGAAGAAAAAAGATTAACGTTTCTAGTAATAACTGAAAATTCATATACTAAATGAAAATGATGTAAGAACTTGATCATTTAGGGGAAAAAGTGCAGATTCATCATTGATATATCTAAGAATTATAGCTGACAATTCAGATGATTGAAGAAATACTTTAGTTAGAATATAGTGTTGTCCTTAGGATCAATTAGTTCTAATGCTATATATAAACACTGTAAAATATATGCAAGAACTCCTGTATACTTGGAAATTTACTTGATAATTAAATTACCTCCTTTTCTATATTAAATACAGAATTTATACTTATATTCTTTTGTATATATTCTATTTCTTTAACTGGAACTGCGTCATTTGTTTGTTCAGATCTTAGCAGGCTTAACATTTAGAGATTGACCTTGGATACAGGAGGCATTTATAAGGATGTAGTAAATGAAGTTTTAAAAATTTGCTTTTGAATTTGAGAAATGAGATGGTAATCAAAACACTTGACATATTTATTTTATACTAGCTGGAATCTGTATAAATAATGACTCCTTTAATTATTACTAATACTATAGAAGGCTTATATTCCCCCAATGTGTTCTACAAGGGTTATTTTCACAGCAGTACAGCTCTTCTAAGGTTGTATTTTCGTCATATTCATGCTACCTTATAAATGTTGCAGCTCTTCAGATTTTTCTTCTAGTAGTACAGTATGATACAAAGTTTGAAATTTGAAATACTTACTAATAAGTAGAATCCTGCATCTGAACATACCACAGCTGATCACAAAAGCAAGCAAAACAAGTAAATATAAAAAAGTTAAATAAATATTCATGATTTGGCATGTAACTGAGAAATGTTAACATGATACAATACATTAAATCTATGATAGTAATATCTTTGTTAAATGTAAATATAAAAAGACAAAAGGAAAAATATATTTGAAAGGAAAACATGTATACAGTTTTTGGAAAATTACATTTCACAAATACATTTTAGCTAATTATAATAAATAATAGATACAACATAATGTTATAAGTATTTAAATGTGAAGACAGAGCATGATCTTGTAGTTTATTCTTTCCTGAATAGTTTGTGAAGATTGTTGAGGGACTGGGATTTAGTTTAGTGGTTCCTTCGCCTGCTTTGCAAGCATAAGATCCTGAGTTCGATCCCGGGTACCAAAACAAAAAGTGTTATTGAATAATTTTTTTAGAAAATGAACTCTTAATGTACCTTTGCACAGTAAATGCTATTTTTTAACAAAATATTTTTAACCACTGTTTATCACTGTTGTAATGTTAGGATATTAATTTATTACTGTAATTTAAAAGGCAAGATAAAAAGCTCAGGTACTACCATATGTAAAAGTGAGCTTTTAATAGTTGTCATGCCAGTGCGGCTATTAAATAGTATTGTAGTATTTAAGGTGTAAAATGAATATTTTTCAGCTCAGTAAGTAGCTTTTCTGATTAGGCTATTTGTGAATTTGACATTTGGGTTAAATGTAGAATTCATAGAAACAGCTCTAGGGTATATTTTCATATTAAGAAAAACTATAAAGTATTGTAGAATCACATTAAAATGACAAAATTGTCACTAAAATTTTACTTTCAAAAATGAAAAATATTTTTGTGTCATTGTGGCTCTCTATTAAACTAACGAGATAGATTATCAGAAAAATGAACATCTTATTGGTTTGTGTAGCATGTCTTCCTTTGTTTTATTTAAACTGTTTCAGAAATCCTAAGCTGTCTTTACTTAAACAATTCAGATCTTAAATCTTGTACCAGCATAATAAAGTATGTCTGCTTGAGTCCAAGGTGAATACTACTGTTACTATCCTCTCATCTATAAAAGGTAAAATAGGCACTGTACTCTCTACACTGTCTTCTTTTCACAACTTTTTAGAACACCGAGGTAAAGTGTGTAGAATAAAGCCTTTTGAAAATCTAAATGCAAAGTTATTATTCTATGCTCATCTTATGTAAGTTGATAACTTTGTTCCCTCAGTTTTCACCATTAAATATGTGTACCTTGTAGCATATACTGGTCTTGCTTTTTAATTCAGTCTTGAATTGGCATCTAAATCTACATTTTTCTGTTTTTGCATTATTATTGTATTAGATTGTCAAGTTTCTAGAAGTCATGATCTCTGGGTGTTTTCAGATATAATATCTAAGTATACTATGTCAGTTGAAATTCTGATTCCAAATATGTAGAAGACTTGGGCCCAGTTTAGGCTTCCTTTTCCCTGCCTTTGAAGTGAGGATAATAAAATACAAATGACAGGAGGGGATTAATAGGGTAAAATTACATAATGACTAATAAATAAATAGTGTTTGCATTTATGTACTAGCCAGTGTTGTAATCATCACTGTCACCATTATTAACCTTTTGGTACTATAGAAATTTTTTGTAGTGCTCTAATGTAGAGGTGTCAAAAGAAAGAGGGAAAAAAATGTCTTACAGGAAAATAATCTGTTAGCAGAAAGGGAGTTTAAAGCTTAAAAACAGCTTGAGTCTTGAAACTTTGCCTCTAGTAAAGTATTCCATATTGCCTTTTGTGTAACAAATTTACATACCTACTAAAGTTGAAGGAAAGATGTTTTACTAATAAATTCAGAGATAGATATCTAGAACTTTTAGCAAGTAAGTTTTAAGATTTAAAATCAGTTGACTCTTAGCTATAACTTCATGTGCCTAATGCTCATGCACATATATTTTTTAACAGCCTTGGGGGTTTTACTATGGATTGCTTCATTGATGTAGATAAAGTACAGCTTCTGATGCCTGAGTTATTGAGCTGATCTTGTTTTTGAAATTTTGGTTAAAGTTTGTATACCTACCAATTTTCAGATGATGTGTTAAAATGGAGTATTTATAAGGTAGAGAAGAAATTGGTTTTACAAATACATCTTGTACTTCTTCAAGGCCAGTGTTGATATTTTCTGTCAAATGATGAGCTTTCTTTCTTACTTAGTTTCCTGCTTATCAATTTGTGTAGAAGTTTAATTTCTTGACTGTAGCAAAGGGCCTACTTGGTAGAAAGAATATTCTTATCTACCACTTCCCTCCTCTTTCCAAGAGCAGCTGACCTTCTTCTCACCAAAAAAGGCAAACCCCTTCCCAGCAAATATGACTACAGACTATTACATTAATCTGTTTAGCTGTAGTACCAGCTGCTTGCATGTTTTTAATTATCTTATTAGATGGTGTAACAGTGACCTATGAAATAAATTGAAGGTGAACGTTTTAAAACTTTCCTTCTGTTAATTTGCTTGAGTATCTTTTTTTATCAAATTTCAACTTTTACAAAAGTTCACAGGAAATCTAATGCTTTTTAAAAATGATTTTTTAAAAGTATAATATAATTTCCAATATAGAAAATAACTTTATTTTTGCCTCATTTATGGATAAGACACAGGTTGTGTTATATAGCCAAAATTTCATGGCAAATTTGGTTTACTAGTAAGTTTAGTTAGAGAAAACTTAGACCAGTTATTTGGCATTCCCTTAGAAACTCAAAATATTTCTTAATTTTTTATACATCATTTTGGCATTATATAGCATAGGATAGAGTCAAATCATTTTAGGTTGTTTTAAAATAAATTTATACGTTATTTTTATCTAGAGTCTAGATATATGCTAGGAAATTACCTAGTTTACTCTAATTTTTAAATATAATTTCACATGGTATCATTTATGAGTATATTTTTCCAAGACGCACTATTAGGAAAAATATACTGTCTTCTGGATTTTGAAAATTAGATAATTTTCAAATGCAATGTTGATTTCAAGAGACTCTTAAATTTAATAAAAACAAATGGTTATTTGGTTACATATCATTACCCCTAAAGATTCTAATAATTTAGGAACCTTGGTGTTAAATGTAAATATATATATATACATATATATATATATATGTATATATATATATATATATATACATACATACATACATATATATATATATACATACATACATACAAACAAACAAACAAAGATTGCAATATACTTCTGTATGTCTGTTTTGTTAATAAATCCTATAACTGGGATAGTGAGGTGATCTAAGACTGAAAATATGTAAGTATTTGAATATTTGTAAAGCATATATTTTTTAATTTATACTTATTTCCTCTGAAAAAAATACTATATATTTAAGAAAAACTTTATTGAGGAAAAGGGAGCTTTTTCTTTTTATAATAATTTATTTTACCACTTTTAGGAAAGACAGAAAAAAGTACTTGTCACAATTTCTAATTGCTTGAGAGATTAGAGCTTCTAAAGTTCTTCCTTATCTCTACAGTGGTGTTTTATAGTTCACCAGTCAAAGGCTATTTAAGTTGGTAAATACATTTACCAGTAATTAGCCTTTTGCATGTAAAAGTAAATCTTTAGCTGAACATAAAAAAATAACCCATTTGAATCAC